TATTGAATAGGCCAAAATTGTTTAGAACCTTTATTGACTTTGGCCCCATCAGTACTAAAGTCTATAACGATAAGCTCTGGTAAAATGTCAACTCGAATTGTTCTAAATTTCTTCTGAAGAGTAAATTTAAAGGGAAATCTTTAGTTATTTGCCGGTAGTTTTTGGGGTGGGGGAGCGGAGGGCGAGGGGGCGTTGCACCCTAAGCACCCCCATTCGAAAGGGGACAGCCCCCACTTCACGAAAAGTGGTACCCCCCCTTCGGGGCCTCCCACCGACCCCTAGGGAACCGTTTGAAAAAGGGGGAAAAACGGAATTTTCTTAGGCAAACTGAGCAGTTTGAAGTGGAATATGACCCAACTAACAGAAACCGTGGGATTTTTTAATAAAAGAAATTATGCCAAATTAGATATCGGGCGATTTTGAATAAAGAATAAAAAAGTTAATTAAAAATAGAAAAAACAAGTTTTTATAAAAAAAATGTATTTTTACGTAAAATTCCTTTCTGCGTAGGAGGCCTTCGGCCGCACTTAAAGATTATAACCCTCACAAAGTAGAATTCTCTTTCTGTGTTGCCAAAGAAGGGGGGCTGAACACCTTTTGCAGAGAACACCTTTCTGCGTAGGCGGCCTTTGGCCGCACTTAAGGATTATAACTCTCAGGCAGTAGAATTCTACTTTCTGTGTTTCCAAAGAAGGGGGGCTGAACACCTTTCTGCGTAGGCGGCCTTCGGCCGCACTTAGGGATTATATGAGCTGAACACCGTTTGCAAAGAACACCTTTGTATATTTTTAATGCTTACTGGGTTATATCCTATCTTATTTTGTCTCTCATTCTTTTGCATATTTTGGAGTTTGACAGCTGAACTCCGCCATTTAATTTGCATATGCAACCAAAGTCATAAGCGTGATTTTGAAGGTTTTTTTATTTAATGAATTGTGATTAATTGGTTAATATTAAAGTCGTAAAGAAAGTTATAACTAATCGAGTAAAGTGTAAAGGGGAATACTAAAATATATTGGTGAAGCGGCTGCTTTAAGGAGAATAGGAGTGATACATGAACCAAAAATACAAGATCACGTAAGAACGCGACGTTGTATTTGTAACTGGTTTTGAGAAAAAAGTTTGCGAAAGGGGGTTC